CTGCCAGGGCTGCGGAGGTGCGGTCGTGTGTGATTTGGGGCGAACTGATGAATCCCCAGAAAAAGGCTGCAAGGAAGGCTGCTCGGTTTCGGGCACGGCGTCAACGCGACGTGCACGAGTCCCCATCTCGTCAGGCTCACCCTCGCCTTGTGCAGCGTCATCCTGGGGGTCCAAGAAGAAAAAAGCTCCGGGGTTTTCCGTTTCATCTCCGGCTCCGGCTTCTGGACCGTGTGGTTGGTGTATAGCAAAAAAAGAAGACAAATCAGCTTTTTTTTCTTGATGCATAAACTCCTCCAGCATCCCCAGTGTCCGGCGAAAGGATAGGTCCAGGTTTTGCTCGATTGAGAGGGAGATTTCAGGCGCGGTTTTTAGTGCTTCCGCCATGGCATTGTCACGCTCGTCATGAACACTGCCATGGAAGCTTTGAAGTAATTGTAGCTTCTTACTCAGCGTCATCACTTCCACCATACTGTCCTTTATTTCACAAGGTAAAGATGAGTCCATTTTCATATTTCCTCTTATTTTTTGAAATACTTTCCAGATGTCTATTCCTTGTCCGGCTTTAGAAAGTTTTTTATTATCCGCCCGAGGTGATGTCGAAGAAGCAGGTGCTACGCTGAGGCCGGCCGGCGGTTGAGACGAGTCGCTTCCCATCACAGGTAAGGAAGTGTCGTCATCACGCGTGCCAGGACCATCTCCACCTGCCGGATATTCCTCTGAAACATTAGGCCCTTGATCTTGGCTTACTCTCACATACGGTTCCGATAGTTGGAAATTTTCTGCGCATATGGTCATGCTCTCAACTAGCTGCAACCATGTATCTTTCCACAGTGAAGAGTTAAATTCTTTGCGTTCCTTATTCTGGTCCTGTCTTTCGACCCGCGAGTCAGTGACGAGGGGAATTCCTCTTTGTGCATCATGACTCGTGGGGAATCTTTGCAGGTTATCGTTTCCGGAGAAACCCATTCCAGCTTCAAAGTTTGGGTTGAACCCGCTACTTTGTGCACCGCCAACGATGTTCGAAGGTACTGGTCTTTGCACATGGTCGTATATGGGGAACCTTGATTGGATGTCTTTGAGGCTGTTGAAGTCCACCTGTATGTAGTCATCTGAAGCAGACCCCCCTTGGATGTCTGGGGCTGAGGAGAATGCTCCTTGTACATACTCGTCTGCAGGTACTTCCTGTTGTATGCCATCGCTCGTACAAAATCCTCTTAGCGTGCTACCAGAAGAAGAGAACTCTTGTTGCATAACGGATGAAGAGAATGCTCTTTGCAAAGCATTGTTCACGAAGTATCTTTGTTCCACATCTTTTTCTATAGGTGCGTCACCACTGGCTGGGAATTGTATTGGTGCGTCACTATAATTTGTCCCACACTCCGATTCCTGATCGCCAGTGGTACTCTCTGTTGAAACTGGCCAGTCTATGGTAATTCCACCCTGGTCACTAAGCGCGTCCGCGTTTTGGTAAGCCGCTTTGAAGGCGTCCCAGTTATACTGTGATAGGTTCTTCGGCCAGCTGTGCGTGTTTGGTCGCAGGGGAGCTGAGACGTTACCATGACTCCAGACTTCGCTGTTTGAGTAGCGCATCGTAGGAGGTGCGAGTGGGTTTGCAGAGGGACCGAAGAGGGGAAGCGTGTCAAGCAGACTGCTATTGTCAAGGGGGTCAACACGACCACTAGTAGAGGCTGGAGCGCCTGAACGATCAGTGGCTAGATCTAGAGGGTCCTCCTCATTTAAAGCCTCCGCGGCGGTGTCTGACTGGTGTGTATTTGGAGCGACAGAGTCTAACCGATCGACTTGAGGAGCAAAAGGATTCAACTGATTAAAGCTCTGGGTAAGAAATTCAAAGTAATGGGGATTTGTATTGCGCAAGGAGCCTGTTGCATAAGGTCCCTTGGTAGGCCACGGGTTTTGAAAAGAGCTGGAATGACCTCGTTCAGGTAGATAGTCTCCAGACGGACCTAGATAGTGATGGCTGGGATCTGGATACTGAGAGAAGGAAGGTACACCGCCCACCGCTCCCAGCAGGGCCTCGTCTAAGACGTCTTCAGTGGTGGTGACAGTTTGGCTGTCAGGGTATCTTTTATTCGGTGCATTCTCGCGGGATATATTCATCCCGAGCCTTTCTTCGGGTAGGCTCTGACTGGTCTCGGGTAATGGTAGACCATGCTCAATTGTAGTTTGTCCCCCAAATCTTTGCTCCATGTGTATTGACTGCTCTAGTCTTTGTTCTCTTCCTACTGATTGATTCGGTTCTTTTCCACTAAAGGCTGATTGACTGAAGTCTTGTAAACCGGTTCTTTGTTCACCGGGTCTGGATCTTAGTTCACCGAATCTTTGTTCAAAGAGCAAGTTGTCACAGGGTAGCTGATCACCGGGTGGATGAGGCCCGGGGGGTGCAGTTGACATTCTGAAGTCTCGTCCAGAGCTAAAGTGACCTTGGGTATACTTCACTGAATCTGCATAAGGACTGCTCAACCAGTAAAGGCGAGGATAAAAGAAAGAAGGGCGGGGGTTTGGGGAGAGAAGGGAGAGAAAGAAGAGAAAAAAATTAAAAAAGTTGCATGGCTTTAATGCCTCTCTCAAAGTATGGAGATAAACGCACTGTAATCATATTATTTCATCTCTGTAGAATGACGAACATTTTTTTTCCAAATGACATCTTTCCTTAAATTTGATACTTGAGCTGAAGGCTGACTTTTCGAAGAGTAGTTGGAAAGTAATAAAATGTGGATGTAAGAGCTTACAGCGGGAGGGATTTCAGTTTGAAAGAAATAGATGAGAGAAAGGGGGAGTGGTATGGGTTTAACTGCCCATTCAATACAAAGATTATACTATGACAGGCGAGGTCTACATATTTCAGGTCCATTTCCGAAAGAACCGAATCAAGTGGATGGTGAGTTTTGATTACTGCCCCCCCCCCTCCCTTCCTTCT